TTTCCGATGAAATGCTTTGAAACTCATTATATAAGGATATATTAATAGTGTAGATAATGTGACACTGTCAAATTAGCAAGAACTCACGCGCATTTACGTGCGCTTCGCTCTGATTGGCTGAAACAAAAATCTCAATATCTTTTCCGTTTTTTGACGAAATGGTATGAAATTTAAAATATAAGCATACTTTAAGATGTCCTACAACATGATGTATAACATTTGTCATGAAAGCATGCGCATGCACGTGCGCTGCAATCTGATTGGCTTAAACTTCAAATGGCTGTAACTCCCTTGTTTTTCAACCAACCACGATAAGATTTAGAACATAGACAGACACAATAGACTCCTATAAGAAGTTACGGTCATCATGCACATGCATGCACGCGCATGCACGTGCGCTTTGCTCCGATTAGCTGAAACAAAAATCTCAATATCTTACTTGTTTTTTGACAAAATACTTTGAATTTTAAAACATAATCATACCTTAATACGTCCTAAACTATGATATATAAAAGTTTTCAAGAAACCACGCCCATGCACGTGTGCTGCGATCTGATTGGCTTAAACTTTAAATGCCTATAACTTTTTTGATTCTCAACAAAACAGGATGAAATTTAGAATATGAATAGATATGACGGATTCTTACATTATGCTACCATCAAACTTGAATGCAAGGACTTGCATGCACGTGTGCGCGCGCAATGCGTTAAATGACCGATTTACTTGATATAGTCGTAATTTTTTTTATGAAACGTTTCAAAATTCAAAGAATAGAAACACATTAAAAGTGTAGTCACGATGATATAGCTTTCATGCATTGCACCTTCGCGCGCGTGCAATGATCAAATGACTTGTATACTTGATATGGCCGTTACTTTTATATTTCTTTATGAAATGCTTTGATGACCTTGACCCTTGACCTTTGACCCCTTGACCCAAAGGTCACAATCCAGCTCAAGTTCGTAGATGTATTTACAAACTCACTTTAACAAATGCTTAGAATAAAAAAGTCAACCCCCCCCCTTCTCCTTAAAAAAAAAAAATCAATAACAACGTAGAAAATTTCTCTGAAACTCGATCAACACCTGGGATCGACATAAAATTTCACTTAAGGTGCAGAAAAGACTTCATAGAAAGTTTCCTGAAAGTTTTACGGTAAGTCTCTAAAGTATATAGAAATTATGAATTTTTACGGCAAAAATTACAAATTCTGTCGTGTTTGAAATATAAGTGCAGACGAACAAAGATATGATATAAACCTTTTAAAGCCTATTTCTCCAGATGTCGTTAATAGCATTCAATTCTACTGATATGAATTAATATTTTAATACCAAGCATTCTTCTTTTATTTCACCATTGAAATTTATCTGAATTTTTTTTAGAATTACACAATCCCCAGAAATAGCGAGTTTCGGTATATTAAAAAGCAATACACGTTTCTTTCCAGTAAAACCTCACGTGTTTGAATTCATGAAAAAAAATTGATAAGGGGGTGTTAAACAATACCTGTCACATTAGCTGACACCAAAAAACCAGGGTACGTACACGACATTTTCTGATTTATTTGCATATGCAAACAGGGCTACCCTCAAATCCACGTGTTTTCCATGTCTTTATAAACATCACAAAAGCACCCCAGGAAGTAGCCTCCTATGCCCTGGAGAAATAGTTCCTGTCAAAAAACTTTATTTATTTATAGAGTAGATAAAATTTCCTAGGCACAGGTACCAGAGTTGTCAAACTGGCCTGGAAGGAAATTAAAAAAACTCTCAAAAGAAAGGAAAATCGGCTTAATGTATGGACCTACAATTGACTAAGTTCATTTTGATTGGTCAATTACCGGTGTGGTACCCCTAGTCGCCTTGAATCCAGTCCTGTCTTTCTGAAGAAAACCAACTCCGAGCCCGATGTAAAAATCTTAGTAGAGAAATGAGAATTTGAATTTTGCTGCCTTATTATGTTCCCCAAACGAAGTTTGGGAACATATTGTTTTTACTCTGTTTCTTATTATGTTCCCCAAACGAAGTTGGGGAACATATTGTTTTTACTCTGTTTCTTATTATTATTATTCTTATTATTATTATTTTTCTTCCTGGGAAAATTTTGTCCGCGAGTGATCTTGTAAACTACACATCCGACTTAGGTGAAACCTTTTTAGGGTAAGTAGGCATGTTATGTAGATTTGCGGAATCAAGGTCATTTTGCGCGCACGTGCTTGCAAGAGCGCGCACGTGCAAAACTTAAAATGACCAATATATAATGGATATAACCGTAACTTTTCTATTTTGTGACGAAATGTTTTGAAACTTATAATGTAAGGATATATTAGTAGTATGCACAAGATGACACGGTCAAAATAGCAAGATCGCACGCTCATGCACGTGCGCTTCGTTCTGATTGGCTGAAACTAAAGTCTCAATATCTTTTTTGTCTTTTGATAAAATCATTTGAAATTTTGAACATAGTCATACATTAGGGAGATCTACAGCCTGTAATATAAGATTTATCATGACAGCATGTGCATGCACATGTGCTTGCAAGAGCTCGCACGTGCAACGCGAGAAATATCCAATATAATTGATACAGACGTAACTATTTAAATTATTGATGAAATGCTTTGAAACTCATATTATAAGTATATATTAGAAGCATAGACAAAATGACATGGTCAAAAAAGTAAGATCTCACGCGCATGCACGTGTGCTTCGCTCTGATTGGCTGAAATTAAATTCTCAATATCTTTCTTTTTTCTTGTCATAATCCTTTGAAATTTTGAACACAGACTCATATTATGAAGATCTACAGCATGATATATAAGAATTTTCATGAAAGCATGCGCATACCCGCGTGCTGCAATCTGATTGGCTGAAACATTAAATGGCTATATCTCCTTTGTTTTTTGACGAAATGCTTTGAAATTTAAAACATAGTCATGCATTAGGATATCCTACAATATGATAAAGACAAAATAATCATGAAATCACACGCATGCACGTGTGCTGCAATCTGATTGGCTTAAACTTGAAATGGCTATAACTCCCTTGTTTTTCAACCAAAGAGGATGGGATTTAGAATATAGATAGATATTAGGGACTGCTACAAGAAGGTATGGTCATCATGCACGTGCACGCACGTGCGTCCATTTGGAACGAGTGAAATGAAAAATACACTTGAAAGAGTGATTTTTCTTACTTTTTGACTGAATGCTTTAATATATTGTATATTAAAATTTGTAGATAGTGTAGACAAGATGATGTGATCATAACGCACATACATTCACATGCGCACGGGTGCAATGCTAAAATTTGAGTATAATTGGTATCCTTCTGAGAAAACGTTGTTAAAGTTAAAAATGCACAGAGTTTGTCTTATTTAATGAAGCGTACAGGGAATATGGCACCAAAAAGGAGTTGGGGAGCGTTTGGGGAACATCTGTAACGGTCCCCGTTACAATTAGCACTAGTTATTATTATTATTATTATTTTTTTTTCTTATTTGTTCTCCGGTACTTTTTTGTCCGCGAGTGTTCTCAGAAACTGTTCACCCAACTGACCTAAAACCTTTTTAGGGTTAATGGGTGTGTAGTGTAGGTGTGCGGAACGAAGGTCATTTTGCGCGCATACGCATGCACGTGTGTGCGCGTGCAACACGTGAAATAACTTATATACTTAATATAGCTATAACTTTAACATTTTTTAATGAAATGATTTGAAACTCATTATATAAAGATATATTAATAGTGTACATAATGTGACATGTCAAATTAGCACGAACTCACGCGCATGCACGTGCGCTTCGCTCTGATTGGCTAAAACAAAAATCTTAGTATCTTCTCTGTTTTTTGACGAAATGCTTTGAAATTTAAAACATAGTCATGAATTAGGATATCCTACAATATGATATAGAAAAAATTTCATGAAATCACGCGCATGCACGTGTGCTGCAATCTGATTGGCTGATACTTTAAATTACTATATCGCCTTTGTTTTTTGACGAAATGCTTTGAAATCAAAAACATAGTCATACATTAGGATGTCCTGCAATATGATATCCAAAAAATTCAAGAAATTACGCGCATGCACGTGTGCTGCAATCTGATTGGCTGAAATTTTAAATGACTATATCTCCTTTGTTTCTTGACGAAATGCTTTGAAATTTAAAACATAATCATTCATTAGGATATCCTACAATGCGATATAGAAAAAAAAATCATGAAATCACGCGCATGCACGTGTGCTGCAATCTGATTGGCTGAAACTTGAAATGGCTATAACTCCCTTGTTTTTCAACCAAACAGGATGGGATTCAGAACAGAGATAAATATAAGGGATTCCTACAAGAAGGTATGGTCATCATGCACGTGCACGCACGTGCGTGCATTTGGAACGAATGAAATTAGAAATACACTTGAATGAGTGATTTTTAATACTTTTGGACTGAATGCTTTCACATATAATATACTACAGGGAATATGGCACTAAAAGGGAGTTGGGGAGCGTTTGGGGAACATCTGTAACGGTTCCCGTTACAATTAGCCCTAGTTTTTTTTTGCAATAGCTGCGACTGTTCATTCCAGTAATAACAAACAAAGAAAGCATTTTATTGTTTATATTTATATCTGTTTAAATTATCATTTTAAGTAGGATTAAAAATATTAATTATTGTGTTAATGATGCGAAAGTCTTTGTACGTTTCATTGATGGAACAGCCACTGATCAAGAAATCTGTACAGGTGATATGCCTAATGTAGTTCATGCAGTGATGAACGCAATGGGTTTTCTTAAGAAATAAAGAAGAAAATATTCAGTGGATGTAAATATTTCACTATATTCATAATTTGTTATATCTGTATAAGAAATTCATTATTAAATTCATAGAATTGGGGATCCAAGATAACTTCGCAATATCCATGAATTCACAATATCCATGTTCATACTAAACAAGTTTTACTGTATTTACAAGATCTTAATAAAAATAAGGCTACTTAATGAGCTATGTACCTCCTTGTCATAAGCAATGTTTTCTTTATCACAAATCTCTGTCAATCTCTCACTCAGCACTTGGTCTGCTAGGGGTTTAAACCGGAACTTGGCACAGCGGGAGGCTATTGGTTCTATGATCCGACTAACATAATTACAAATCAGGCAGAATCGGGTAGATTTACTTTCTTTCTCCATTGTTCTTCGCAGTGCTGCCTGTAGAAAAAGATCAAATCAATCAGATGCTCTATTCAAAACACTGCAAAATCTACTTTCCCGTAAAATATCACAAAAAATTAAATGCTTCTCTTCAGAGACTTAAATTTATCAAGAAATTCCTATTTTTTAAACAATTTTTTTCAAATTTTGAATGAAAAAGGTCTTACAAATATAAATTACTTATGCCTTAGTATCTATTTTTGTGCTTATAGCTCTTCCAGCCACTGATTATAATAGTGACTTTGTACAACTTTTTGTAATTTTAGTTCTGACAGCATTGTGTCCCTTTATGTATCTGTTAATCACTCACCTGAGCTGGGGATGTCATGGAGTCTGCCTCATCCAGGATAATAATTTTAAATGGAGGGCAAGGCTTCCCACTGTTAAAAAAAACTACACTTGTATCTACATAACATCCACAATAATGATTTTAAATGGAGGGCAAGGCTTCCCGCTGTCCAAAAAAACATGAGTAGAAGTTGGTGTACAGTATCTATACAACATCCAGGATAAATGAATGATTTTAAATGGAGGGCAAGACTTCATGGGATAGGTCAAAGTCAGAAAATTTTAAGAGTCAAAGTACTCTCCCCAATATTTATCCTACAACTTCCCCTTGCATTGACTTAATAAATATAGCCTAATAAACCCAAATTCTTGATTTTAACACACTTGAATCTACACTACCAGAGGATGCTTCCACTTGAGTTTCATCTATCCTGGTCCAGTTGTTCTTGGATAGAAAATTTTTACAAAGATTTTTCCTATGTATTCCTATGTTAAACTTTGATGCCCCATTGTGGCCCCACCCTAATCCCAGTGGTAATGATTTGAACAATCTTGAATCTACACAACCAGAGAATGCTTCCATATAACTCTGACCAATCATGGCTTTGCTGTTCTTAAGAAGATTTTTAAAGATTTTCCTATGTATTTCTATGTTAAACTTTGATACACCATTTTGACCCCACCCTACCCCTGGGGGTCATGATTTGAACAAACTGGAATCTACATTACCAGATGATGCTTCCACTTGAGTTTCATCTTTCCTTGCCCAACTGTCCTTGAGAAGAAGCTTTTTAAAGATTTTTTCTATGTATTCCAATGTTAAACCCTATCCCTGGGGGTCATGATTTGAATAAATTTGAATCTGTACTACCTGAAGATACTTCCACATGAATTTCATTTTTCCTGGCCATGTAGTTCTTGAGAAGAAGATTTTAAAACATGCCATTAATTTTTTACTAATCTATAATTATATCCCCTTGGAAAAGGGTGAGGCCCTGCATTTGAATAAACTTGAATCCCCTTTACCCAAGGATACTTTGTGGCAAGTTTGGTCGAAATTGGACAGATGGTTGTTGAGAAGAAGATGAAAATGTGAAAAGTTTATGATGACAACGATGATGAGGAGAACGGAAAAATTTTGATCAGAAAAGGCACAGGTGAGCTAAAAACATGGTTACTGCCTTGAAATATAAATATTAGTTTATATAGAATTGACATCCCTAGTATTAAGTTATACAAAGTGTTTTAATTTTATCTTGAAACAAAACTTTTATGTCCTAAAATCCTATCTTACTCTGGTTTTGTTCCACTGGCAGTAGTCTGAGCAAATTTCTTGACTTTCTCTCTGACAACATTAATTCCTCGTTCATCGGAAGCATTCAGCTCCAATACTCGTAACTTCATCATCTCTGTTCTGTAAAGCAACGGCAATGACATAGCAAAAATATATACAGTACATACATAACAACTTTTTTTTTTACACAAAACAGGACTTTGCAATTTTAAATAGTATTTATTTCTTCACTGATAGTAACAAAAAAGGTAAACTTTGGAATTTAAAACATCACAGATGTCAACTTCTGTCAAGTTTTCTCTTATCTTGTCACAAATATTCAAACACTCATTTACTGGACTTTTTATATAGATAATTTTTTTCAGCACTAGTTTTTCCAAAGTTTGCATCACATAATCCTGTACTTAATGTAGGGATATTTTTAAAGTGTTGTGTGAGTTAGTGTGTTTCAGACTTGCCACATTTGCATATTTCATGAACCCACCTAGTGCTTCATGAAAAATAGGCCCAAAATGAAGTCTGTGTAATATACACACCAGTAACTTAGAAACATGTTTTACATCTAAATTTAATATAGGCCTATTTTGATATGTTTGAAAGCTTATAGCAAGTGTTTGAATTCCTGGCCTTTCTTATTGCCTCAAATTTTTATACTTTGGCTCAACACCTCTTAATTCTCATTGTGATCTCCCTTTAGCGGTATATTCTCTGTATATGTCTACATGTGAGTATGTACACGTAAATGGCATTCAAATCAATTTCATAGTTAATTAATTAGGAAAAAACACAGCAATAAACAATATAGATTACATAAGCCATTCCTTCACAGGGACATTAACATTTCAAGTGTTGTCAACAGTCTTCAATATCAATTACAGTTTCCTTGTTTAACAGTTTGAGGTATATATTGAAGATTAATTTGTGCGTGCATGTATTTGTGTGCAAATGCATGGAATTAGAAAAGACTTCATTAGAAATGATTAACAGTATATTATAAACCAAAATTACGATTCCTAAACTAAGGTGCACAAACTAAACAAGATCATTTTCTAACACTTTGGGGTGTTTCAATTGCACATTATAAACATTCCCCTCACCCCCCTTTTTTTTTTAATGAATCAGTATTGTATATAAATTGTGAAGAATCTTTTTTCTGTTGTCTGTGTAATATTCAAGATTAAGACAATGAACAATATCTCGTTAAATACCTCTTATTACATGAAATTAAAAATTTTTTACAAAATATACATTACAAAATACAAATTTTCACACAAATCCATGCTATAGTCTCCAAAAACAGGTCCAGAAAAAATTATGCTTATATGCAGACAGATGTTCTGAGAGGTGGACATGCTGATTCTAATAACTCTCCCTAGACTTTGTTCGTAGGGGGTATAGGATCTCTAGAATTAACCTGATGTTGCGTACAGGAATCAGATAGCAGTTATCTAAACAGAAAGATGTTCTGAGAGGTGGACATGCTGATTCTACAGGGATTTTTGTTACCCTTTGACTCCAGGGTCCGGGGCCGTTAAGATTGGGAAAAATAGCGATATTTGGTTGAAATTGGGAAAAATGTTTTCATACAAATAAAAAGGAAAAAACAAGCAAAAGTCAACTACTTAATCTTTTTTTTATCTTTAATTGTATGGAACTAGCTTCAATCGGCTTTACTGATATGAAATAATAGTGGCTGTTGAAGTTCAGAAGCTTAAAAATTGCAAAGCCGCAGAGTATGATAAAATTGTAAACGAACATATTTATACGTTGTCATCCTTTTTACCTGTATTTAAGAAGTTCATTAAAAATAAAATTTGACAGTACGTTTGATCCCGATGAGTGATTAATCGGTACTGATTGACCAGTTTATAGGAATAAGACTCAAGAGCGATTCAACCTAGCCTGAAAATTACTGTCTGAGGCAAACTGGAGAGACTGCCATGATGCACATTAACTTATTAAATAATGATCCTGACTTTAATTTTTAAACGTCGATCCCGCTTTAAAAACATTCGTACTATTCCAAATGACTTCTTGGATGGCCGTACATCGCACATATGGAACATAACACCTGTTTTTCATTATTTTATTTTAAAAATTTACAACTTAATACTTTTTTCATATTGGGAATTTTTAGGTATAATTTTGGGAAAAACATGCACTTTTCAGCATTGGGAATGGGGCCGAATTTCAGCCCCAGAGAGACCCTAAAAAAATCCCTGTTCTAACAAATCTCCCTAAACTTTGTTCGTGGCGGGTATAGGATCTCTAGAATTAACCTGATGTTGCGTACAGAAATCAAATAGCAGTTATAAAACAGACAGATGTTCTGAGAGGTGGACATACCGATTCTGATAACTCTCCCTAGACTTTGCATACATGCCAACTTTTGAAAATTCCCATGGGGGATTTTGCGCGTGACGACAATTTTCAAAGCTTTAAATTCGCGACATTTTGTCGTGAAAATAAATGATAATGAATTTTTTTTTTATTATAACATTGATAGCACTTATGAATACAAAACAATACAAATTAAAGTTTTATTTTTCCAAATACATGTATAAATATCTTTGCTTAATAGTTGTCACTCTGTTCTATTAATTTACATTTTGTTTCTGGTATGTACCCTTAAAATCAAGTGTCACTTTATTCCCTATAAGTTAGTATATAACAGTGCATCATTAATTTTATCTCACACATGAAACAATTTAGAGAAAAGGGCCTAATTAAATCATGAATTTTTTAACACAAGCCCCACCCCCACCCATCCCAAAGAAAAATCAAAATTGTAAAAGACTACGTCATGAACATGATAAACTTTTGCAGTCTTGGCAGTGCCATATGGGTCTCTGGTATTTCCTTGACATATATGTAACAAAGAAATACAATGTACAATATGAGTAGGATCTATGGGAGAAAGAGGGAGGGGATTCAGTGTACTTAACATGAGAATATTATTTAATCTAAATTATTTTCAATATTTTTTTAAATTGACAAACTATACAATATTTCTAATATTAGCAGTTAAAATCAGCAGCTATATATGCTTTGAAATTTTCTACTTTCGTTTTCAAAAAACGATCTTTTTGGATTCCTATTTTATTGTTTGATTATCATTTTATTGACTTTAATTTTTGTTTTTAATACAATGACTAATAATTAAGCCCTTAATCTATGTGTTTCACTTCGCATACCCCTTCAAACTGAAAAGATTAATCCCCTAACTGCTCCAGCCTATAAGCTACCTGTACCTGTACCTGGACAGCAGCGTGTGCGTTGAAGCGAGAAGTGATTTCCTGTGCCTAATTAACTCTGCATGCTAAACAAACAATGAAACTTGAATAAACAACTCTGATATTCTTATCCCGATTGACAAAATTCGGCGGTAGGGAAACTGAAAATCTGAATTTTTTCAAATCGGGATATTAGGGCAATTTTTCTTTCCCGATCGGGAGAGCGGGATGAAAGGTTAAAATCGGGAGAATCCCGCCTAAATCGGGAAAGTTGGCATGTATGACTTTGTTCGTGGGGGGTATAGGATCTCTAGAATTAACCTGATGTTACGTTATATAAACTATTATAATAAGACCTTTTAGTCTGACATTGTCTATAATCCTTACCCAAATAGAGAAAAACAAAAAGCATATAAAATATTATAGTATTAAAGGTCCCTAGTATAACCTACTGTTGTATATAGAAATCCTTACCCAAACAGAGATCGAGCTGCGGCCAGGATGGTGGACGTTTTACCAGTTCCCGGTGGTCCA